GCCTCTACATTTTGGCTATTATAAATGATACTGCTTTGAGCATAGGTGTAGAACTATGACTTTGAGTCCCTGCTTTAATACTTTTTGGAAATACACCCAAAAGAAGAATTGCTGGGTTATATATAATCCTATTTTTAAATTTTGCAGGAACTGCTATACTGATTTTCATGGTGGCTGAACCATTTTATATTCCCACAAACAAGCACAGAGTTCCAGTTTCTTTACATCCTTGGCAACACTCGTTTTCTTCTTCTATTTTTTATTTTATTTTATTTTTTGAGACAGAGTCTCACTTTGTTGCCCAGGCTAGAGTGAGTGCTGTGGCATCAGCCTAGCTCACAGCAACCTCAAACTCCTGGGCTCAAGTGATCCTCCTGCCTCAGCCTCCCGAGTAGCTGGGACTACAGGCATGTGCCACCATGCCCGGCTAATTTTTTCTATATATATTAGTTGGCAATTAATTTCTTTCTAATTTTTATAGTAGAGACGGGGTCTTGCCCTTGCTCAGGCTGGTTTCTAACTCCTGACCTCCAGCAATCCGCCCACCTCGGCCTCCCAGAGTGCTAGGATTACAGGCGTGAGCCACCGCGCCCGGCCTTCTTCTTCTTCTTTTAAATAGTAGTTATTCTCGTCAAGGTAACTTTGATTACAAATGTTTCAGGTGTGGCTTTTAACCACTTCGGCATGGCACTCACTGGCCATGAAGCCTCGCCCACAGGCGGCACTCGCAGTCCGCATGGCAGTGTGTGCTGTGCACTGACGACGGGTCTGCTCTGCTCTTTTGTGGTGAGGACAGCTTGAAAGCACTGAAAGCTGGTTTCACTTTACAGGCAGCTTTACTTGTCATGGAAATCAGAATAGGTAACACATACATGTATGTTTCCATTACGTTATTTATAAATGTTCACAATTTTATTTTAATAAATGAAAAATTAGAAAAGTCATATCACGGCTGTCAGCTACAGTCGCTGTGCGCGTTCATCTGTGGCTATCGACTATAGTCGTCGCTGGTCCCGAAGTGGTTAAGAGACTTTGGCTTTATGGCCTTTTTTGGCCCTCAGGTTTATTGTGGAAAAAGATAATTCTGTAGTTCCATGTCAGAGTCAGTCTAATCAGGCTTTTTTCATTATGAATTGATCATCTGAGTTTCAGACTAATAGGTATATAAGTGGTATGTCTTAGTCCATTTTTGCTTCTATAACAGAATACCACAGATTGGGGAATATATAATGAAGATAAATTCATTGGACAACAGTGATGGAGGCTAGGAAGTCCAATATCCAAGTGCCAGCATCTGGTAAGAGCCTTCTTGCTGTGTCATAACATGGAAGAAGGTCAAAGAGGAAGCAAGAGAGAGAGAGAGAGAGAGAGAGAGAGAGAGAGTGCAAGAGGAGACAAAACCCATTCCTATGATATTACCATTTCTGTGATAATACCCTTAGCCCATTTATGAGGGCAGAGCCCTCATTACCTAAACACCTCTTAAAGGTCTCGCCTGTTAATAGTGTTAAAATGGCAATTACATTTCTACATTAGCTTTGGAGAAACAAATGTTCAAACAATAGCATGGTATAAGTCACATAACTCTAGGTTCTATGCATCTGAAATAATTCTAAATTCCTCTATGAATATTTGCTGGTCTTATTTGGGTTTAGGGACATCTTTAGTTGCACCTGTTAATTCAGCCTTGGGGCCAGGGTTTAACCCTTTGCACTCAGATGTTGAGTGTGACTCAACACAGTTAGCAAAAATTATAGAGATTAAAATTACTCTTTGGTAGGTTGGTCGAGGTGGCTCATGCCTGTAATCCTAGCACTCTGGGAGGCCAAGGCGGGCAGATTGCTCGAGGTCAGGAGTTCAAAACCAGCCTGAGCAAGAGCAAGACCCCATCTCTACTATAAATAAAAAGAAATTAATTGGCCAACTAATATATAGAGAAAAAAATTAGCCGGGCATGGTGGCGCATGCCTGTAGTCCCAGCTACTCAGGAGGCTGAGGCAGCAGGATCGCTTGAGCCCAGGAGTTTGAGGTTGCTGTGAGCTAGGCTGATGCCACGGCACTCACTCTAGCCTGGGCAACAAAGTCAGACTCTGTCTCAAAAATAAAATAAAATAAAATAAAAAATAAATAAAATTACTCTTTGCACGTATCAATAATTTGAAATATTAAAAAATCCAAATAAATAAGTTTCTATGAAAAGAAACTCCAGTTTTTTATTCTACTGCCATGCTTTGTAAAATCTGGGGTATTTAAAACATTAAATCCTGAGTAGAATAAAGGAATTGAGATAAAAGGAAGCGAGTGCAAAAGGTTAAATTTGACAGTTGCCTACATACCTAGCTTTTGGCAGGAATGGGTTTTTAGAGATAATTGGCATTTTGGGGGTTTTAGAAAATTTGTTGGAAAGAGGTATGAAATCTGAGCAAGGAACAGAGAAGAAAGGAAGTACAGAAAAAGAAAGATCAGAAGGATAAGGGGGAAAAAGGATAATTAAATATAAGGACGCTACCGGAAGACAAGAAGGAGAGAATTTACTAGGAAAATGAGTCTAGTTCTTATTTAAATTTGTTAAATATTTTTATTTTTTTTATTTTTGTTTTTTTCTTTTTCTTTTCTCAAAAACCCTAAGATGTGTCCTTCAGAAAATATTTGTCATTAGTTTTATTCAAGGAAATATTTATTGAAACATTTTTTGATTCTGAACATGAGAAATCATACCAATAATAGCTACTTTACTTTTTTCTTTTTGAAATGTTACTGATAGTAGTCACCAGTGGCAAAAATTACCCTGACAAAGTTATGCCATTTGGAAATGTAAATATGAAAGTTATGACTGTAATGACAGCACTTAAAACATTCAGGAGTTTTCCCTGGAAGAGTTGATTTAGATTTGGATGATCCCATAAAAGCTGGCAATATTTGGGATGAATGTAATGATTGTATACCTTGGGCTTGGTTCCTACAACATGACAGGTAGCCACTTCCACACAAGGACCTGAGAGTATGCACATGCCAGCATGCAAAAAATTTGAGGGGATGCTCTCTATGTATCAATGCCTAATTTTCAGGGCACAAAATGGAGAAGGAACAAGAACTTCATCCCATTTTATTGGTGACCCACAGCAAAGTCTGTCAAAATCGATACCAGTACAGTGAGAACCAGAAAATCATTGGCCTGTGAGGCCAGCTGAAACAACATTCTCTTGGGCCTATTCCTTAATTTTTACCCTATGACTATCTTTTTTTAAAAAATAGATGGGTCCTCCCTATATTGACTGAGCTGGACTTGAACTCCTGGGCTCACGCGGTTCTTCCACCTCATCCTCCTGAGTAGCTGAGGCTACATGCAAACGCCACCTAACCCAGCTAAAACAATACTTCTAGAACTGTTACACAAAGGACAGGAACAAAGGATGAAAAAGAATGATAACATACTACCAAAGATGCAAACCTAATGGGAGCCAATAGGAAATGGGAACAAAACTGAGAATAAATAGCCAAGAAACCATGCAAAGAGAATAATGTTCAGATTTGTTGGTGAGTTTCCATGTCAGCACGTACTTGGCAAGTTATGAATAGCAAAGCACAAGGGCCCTCTGTGGGTACCATACCTAATTGGAGGCTGGGCACACAGTGATGAACAGTGTAGAGCATAACTCAGTGGGAACTTCATTATAACTATTATCCAATATAACATAACTTCTACAGTGGTTACATCCATCTATATCATTTCTTTGTCCATTAACCTCATCAATAATAACAATGCTTAATAGTAGTATTCTTGGATTCTAAATAGACATAATTTGAAAATAAATAAAAATTCCAATGAGAACAAAGTCTGTTTATTCAGAGCATACGATAGCAAAGGAGTCAGCCAACACATGTTGCAATTGCCAGAACTTCTAAGGCAAAGAGAATAGCGTAGAAGCTTTATAGTAGATAAAAGGGAAGGTATCGGGTATGCCCTGATTGGAGGCTATTGTCATGCTGAATATGTGTGTGTGTTTGTGGGAGGGCTATTTAGAAGGTCAAAATTCTATGTGATTGGCTAGTAGTTCATGTTTGGCTTTCTCCAGTTGGTTCTAAGTTGAAAATGTGGGTAAAAATTAAGGAAGCTGTCAGCTATTAATCTAGTCCTGGCCATTTTAAGCCAATTTTCTCATGGATTGTGGTTTGGCTTCCTGGCCTGCCTGCTAGAGATCATAATCTACTTCTTAGATGGATTACTGTAGATAGAAAATCAGCTTCCTGAACTAGTTGATACAGATTGTGGGGTAGAGTTCAAGTTTTATATTTTGGGTGGCCATTGCCCATTTGTATAGCAAGCCACGCTTACACAAAGAAGTAAATATCCATAATAGTGAGATTTTTTTAATTGATTATATGTTGAAAATTAGTTTAATGTCCACTTTTTTGAAACCACCCATTTCAAAGGCTTGCCTCTGCTAGACTTTCAGTTAGGCAGAATATATTTTTATTGTTCATTTTTGTAAACTGGCCAGTATAGCAAATTTCAAGACTTTGGCCGAAAAACAGTCTTTTCCCTTCCTTAATGCAGAAAAAAAAATTAATTCTTAATCTTCACCTTTGGTCTTCCCTCACCAATCCTGCCAGAGAGACCATAAGTCATTGTCCAGATATTAATATTTTTTTTGTTTTTTTGAGACAGAGTCTCGCTTTGTTGCCCAGGCTAGAGTGAGTGCCCTGGTGTCAGCCTAGCTCACAGCAACCTCAGACTCCTGGGCTCAAGCGATCCTCCTGCCTCAGCCTCCCGAGTAGCTGGGACTACAGGCATGCACCACCATGCCCAGCTAATTTTTTCTCTATATATTAGTTGGCCAATTAATTTCTTTCTATTTATAGTAGAGACGGGGTCTCACTCTTGCTCAGGCTGGTTTCCGAACTCCTGACCTCCAGCAATCCGCCTGCCTCAGCCTCCCAGAGTGCTAGGATTACAGGCGTGAGCCACCGCACTCGCCCAGCAATCCTATTCCTGATGTGTCCCATACACCTACTATTGTGGCTGACATCCAATAAGTGTTCATTGAACATATGTTAGAGTAATAAATATGACAGCACAGGTTCAGTTTTCATTTTTACCTTTCTGATTACTCTTTTATTTGTTTTTATTTTTTTCTCCTGGTAACTCTTTTAAAATATTGTCTTTACCTCTACATCCAAGCTGTTAACACACAACGTTTTCAAGTTTGAAAAAGAAACACATACTTGTTGGACATCAAACCTTGAGCATATCCAAGGTTCCAGGACAGCCACAGGTTCAGCTTTATTTTCTTCTCAGATTTCACTATCTCTTGCTCAAACTTCACTGAGATCTTTACTTTTTATCTCCTGTCACAGATATGTTTTTCTACAACTATTTTTGCCACTTTCTTTGAATAGCTACATAATCATCATTAATAACTTTGATAATACCCATTTCACAAAGCTTTCTCAGAGATAATTTGAAGTCCCTGTGTAGACACTGTTGATACAACTTCAGGTGAAATGATAAATCACTTTTCAGCAAAGAGATGAGATCGTGTATTCTCAAATCTTTATCTCAGGGATAAGATGCACTCTTTGCACATGTGCTTTGACTGTTGGAAGGCCACACAATTTCCTGGCAGAAAATGGTATATTAATAAGATGCTCTTCGTTTTCAGATTCTTAAAATAAATGGAAAATATTTCAGATAAAAAGTAATAAATATTATCTGAATAAAAGTATTGCTTGCTGGGTAGGAACACAAACACTGATTATATAGGTAGTCAAGATTTTCCTTCTCCGACTCCTATCTGGAGTCTATTTTCCCAACGGAGCATACAGAAGGTCATCACATAATCTTCAAAGCTTCAGTCTATATGTTCTTGACAAGCAACAAAAGAGCTGACAGCTGTGAGTTACTAGGAGTCATTACAGGCTGCTGTGTCCCTTCGCATGTGCATCCTTTGGAAACTTGCTGTGCTTCATAGAATCTGAAATAACAGTTCTTTGGAACATTTCTCGGACTTGCTCTAGACTGCATTCTGCGACTGACCGTCTAAGAGCCAGCGAAGCCTCACCACAGGCCTGAAGCCCTGAAGCCTGGGAACTCCATTTTGCAAGGCCCCTCGAGAGGCCTCTTGGCTTTCCCGAGAACGTCAAGGAGTGACCTCAATTCCGGGACACGACAGGGGGCGGCAGCGAACTACGTTACCCGAAGGACTGTGCGGCGTGCGCAGGCAGCCAGGTGAACCAATGAAAGCCTAGCAGAGGCGTTTATGTGCGTGTAGGCGGGACTTCCGCCAGTGCCCATTTGTGGCGTCATTATGGTTGCCTTTGGGTCTATTCCCTGATTTTATGGTCCCGGAGCGCTCAGTCGGGATTCCGGTGATAGCGGGAAAGCGTGATAACAGGTGTCCCGAGTGCACAGAGACGATAGTGAGGCTCGACTGAGTAGGGCTGCAAACGCCAGTTCCCTCGTTTCCGTCCAGGTCACCCGCCGCTCCCGGGGCTGCTCTTCCCGATGAGCTCCACTCAGGTGGGTGCTCGTCCCCGGCCCCTCCCCGGCCCGATCTCAACTCCAAGCGCCGAAGCCCGGACGGAGGGGCGCCTGCTCCGGTCACTGCAGGGCAGGCAGCCGTGTCTGGTGGACCGGGGAGCTCTCCTGTGGGGTCCCCGTTTCGGCCGGTGTGATGAGGTGTGGGAGAGTTCCCGCCCGGGGCCAGCGCGTACAGAGGCATGTAGGTGCTCTTGAGTGGGCCGCGCTGGGGAAACCTGGGGTGTCTTGTGTCTCCAGGGAACAGAGAGTGAGGTGGAGGCTCGCCTGGAATGACAGTGGAGTAGCTGGAAGCCATGGGAGGTTGTGAAGAGAGGACGGACGGGACGGTCATGCCCAGAGTTAAAAGTTTAAAGTAGGGAAAAGCAGGACGTGGAACGGAGGCGTGGAACCGGCGAGGAGACCACTGAAGTAGACCCTCGTTGAATTACGGTAAGGGCTGAACCAGAGGGGTGGCAGTAGAGAGGAGATATGTTGAGATTCTGGGGGGATTTCAAAGATAGAGGAGACAGAATTTCCTGCTGCATCGAATCTAGCTGTGAGGAAAAGTAGTTAGTGAAGGTCCATCTCATGGATTTTTGTCTGAAAATCTGAAAGAATGGACTTAGGGAAGTCATAAAGAGCAGGTTTCAGGGAGAAGATCAGGGGTTGGATTTTGGACATGGTGATTCAGAGGTGTCACGAAATGGATGCATCCCACGACTAGGTGGATAAGTTCCAAAGGTCAAGGAAGGTAGCTATTCTACAACTTTGAAAGGGGTAGAAGGTGTGGACTGTGTGAGGGCATGGTCTGAGGATCATATTGAATATGAAGGTTTTTTTTTGTTTTTTTTTTTTTTTTTTTTTTTTTTTTTGAGACAGAGTCTCGCTTTCTTGCCCAGGCTAGAGTGAGTGCCGTGGCGTCAGCCTCGCTCACAGCAACCTCAGACTCCTGGGCTCAAGCAATCCTCCTGCCTCAGCCTCCCGAGTAGCTGGGACTACAGGCACGAGCCACCATGCCCGGCTGATTTTATATTATATATATTAGTTGGCCAATTAATTTCTTTCTATTTTTTTATGGTAGAGACGGGGTCTCGCTCAGGCTGGTTTTGAACTCCTGACCTTGAGCAATCCGCCCGCCTCGGCCTCCCAGAGTGCTAGAATTACAGGCGTGAGCCACCGCGCCCGGCCTGAATATGAAGTTTTAATGTAATTTCAGATGGGATCTGTGGCGAAGAAGGGGAGGGTTGAGACTTGGAGGGCAGACCATGGGTGGATCCGTGAGCCTGATATTCCCTTTAGATAGGTATAGACCTGTAATGGGAAGGATTCTGGCCTGTGTCTGCAAAAGGGAGGAATGGATAGGATAAGGATGTGGCCTAGGATGGAGACTGGTGTGAGGTGGTTTAGATTCTGCACCTGCAGACTCAGCAGATCCTCATGGCCACTCTCTATGGGAGAGGGAAATGTCAGGCAGTCTAGTACAGCAACTGGGGCTAGACTGGGACACGGCTTTCTCACATCCTCCACTGAAGTCAAGGGCCCCCAGTAAGGTCCCTTCAGAACATTATGTAGCATGCAGGCCTGGTTGCTGAAGGTACTAATGCCTGACCTGCCTACTTAGTCCCCTCCTGACAACTCATTAACTTAGGAATGTATAAAATACGAACCAATATCCTTCTAAATATGTACACATAGGTGGGCAATTAGAAATGACTGTGATCAGTAAGTTAAATTTGTACATATATTTATTAATTGTTGGAATGTTAATTTACCTCTAACTACTTGCTTACAATGGAAGGTTTTATACATCACAGTTCTTAAATTCCCAAATTTTCAAAAGCCTTCCACTTCATTTGTACTGAAAACATACACAAAATTGTTAATTCTGTGAAAAGTAAGTGCTGACACATAGCTTGCACTACTTATGTTTGATGCCAGTATGAGCCCTCTGAGATGGGAACCCTTTTTATCCTTTTTACTCATAAGGGCACTAAAGCTTAGGAGGTTCAGTTTTTGTCCAGAGACACAGAGCTACTAAGAGGAAGGACTGAAGTCTGAGGATCTTATCTTAGCCTCAGATTACTTTGCTGCAATGTGGTGCATAGGTGGTAGAACAGCTTAGCCTGTAGAATCTTACAATGGTGATCCAATTTTTATGGACTTCCTCTTCACCCAGGATCCCATGGCAGTGGCAGAAATGTTTGAGGACCCTGCACAGGTGAGTGGAGTCTGTCTCAGGCTTGCAGCCACTCCAGTTCTCACTCGATGGTTTCTGCATGCTGATAAAGGGAATGGTGGTGTGCTGAGATGCTTCACCTTTGCTTCTCCCTTCCATGCATCTGAAGACGCTGTAGTTCCACAAGATCCAGGGTATCAATTCAGTCCTTCATTATGTGGAATGGTTCTGACAACTAATGGTAAGATGTGGCAGGGTGTCCCAGGCGTAGGATCCAGAATGTTCAAATGATTGCTGGTGAGATTTGTTTAGAGAATTGCACATCATGTTATATCTGCTGGGATAGAGAGCAGGGCAGGAGGTTGAGGTATGCAGGAATCAGCGTGTAAAGGACCATCTGAGATTCTGGGCCTCTAATCTGAGGGTGGTAGAAGCAAGGGACGGTTTGATGGGAGGAAAAAGGAGGTGATTTGACTCAGATATTAAAAGGCTCCCTTTGCCTGCTGAATAGAGGACAGATTTGGGTTGAGGGTGGGATCAGGGACACTAGGGACATAGTTCCTGCAACAGTCCAGGTGGATATTGGTGGTGGCTGGACGAGTGGGTGGCTGTGGAAGTAGAAGGAGTGGGTAGCTTCTGGATGTGTTTGAGCTAGTGCTGCCCATGCTCCTTCCAGGGGAGTCAGAGATGGCTCCATGGTTCTGGCTTTGTTTGGAAGGATGGATGTTCCAACAACCAAGATGTGGTAAATTCTGTGATAGGAGGAATTTTAATAGAGCACTTGAGGAACCATGTTTTGGCCAAGACAAAAATGTTCCTGACTCTGAGTGTAGGTGCCAGATTAGCAATTGTACACAGAGGAATGGAGTTCAGTGGAGGTGTTCAGGATGGAGACATCCACTGCATGATACCTGGTGTGTACACGATCCCCAGAGGTGTGGGTCAGATTTTAGAAGAGGCATCCTTAGGTTTTAGGGGCAGTGCAGTTAGAGAGGAAAGAAGGGACTTAGGACTTGGTCTGTCTCTTGGGCATCTGGGTGATGGTGGTGAGTGTCACAAAGAGGGATGAGGAAGCAGCTAGGAGTGTCACTAGACCTGCAGTGGAGATAGGGTTGGGGAGGGCAGTGCAGATGGATTTTGGGTTAGGGTGAGGTAGACAGGGAAGTCATTCTGCTTATGGGACAGCGTGTGCAGTGCAGAAGGAGGAGGCAGCCAAGATCTGGAGCTCAGAGGAGGCATGAGAGAACTGTGAGTTTCTCATGTAGGTTTGGGTAACTGAGGTTAAAGCTGGAAACATGACTGGATGTGGGTCCCAGAAGAGGGCTTGTAGCTGTGCCAGGCACTGGGAAACATTGGCATTCTGGGCAGTTCAGGGGAAAATAGGATTCTGGTTGCATTTGTCACACACTGCCATGATTCCATGTACAGAGTGGCATGTGGGGAGGTTGTGGAAATGTCCGTGGTGTTAGTGCTGCAGCAGTGGGGGCGTGGACACATGACAGAGGTGGCATCCAAAGAGTGTTGTAAAGGTGAGGAGCAGTGTGAATGGATGGCCCCAGTCTGGTCATTGGGAATGTAAAGGAGAAGGATGAGTCTTGAGTTTTGTTGTCTGAGTGGCAAGATCTGGGGGACCCCAGGGATAATAAAAGAGGGGTTGGGCTCTGCATGCCAAGCTTTTCTGATGGTGCTTTTCTTTCCCTTCCTCCAGCTATCCATGTTCTGTGCTTGACTCAGTGATCGGTGGCAGTATGGTGACGAGTAGGCACCAGAACCCCCAGGACCTGATATTTCTTCCACTTTGGGAAGTGGTTGATGTGTGTGTGTGTGTGTGTGTGTGTGTGTGTGTGTGTGTGTGTGTGATGGGGGTAGCACTGATGATCCTGGAGAGGAAAGTGTATCAATGATTGTACCCATAGAATTTTATTTTATTTTTTTTTGAGACAGAGTCTCACTCTGTTGCCTGGGCTAGAGTGAGTGCCGTGGCGTCAGCCTGGCTCACAGCAACCTCAAGACTCCTAGGTTCAAGTGATCCTCTGGCCTCAGCCTCCCGAGTAGCTGGGACTACAGGCATGTGCCACCATGCCCAGCTATTTTATATATATATATATATATATATGTATATTTTGTTGTTGTTGTTGTTGGCCAATTAATTTCTTTCTATTTATAGTAGAGATGCGGTCTCGCTCTTGCTCAGGCTGGTTTTGAACTCCTGGCCTTGAGCGATCCACCCACCTCGGCCTCCCAGAGTGCTAGGATTACAGGCATGAACCACCGTGCCCAGCCTAGAATTTTAATTTATGGACATGAGTGAGTGATGACAGAGAGGCAGTGACATTGAAAGATTTTTTATTACTTACATATGTGGAGTGGAGGGGGCATTCCACACCATACGAGGCCACAAAGGAAACAGCAGATTTGGTCAGGAGGTAGTTGCACGATTGAGGGAAAAGCACATGCCAAAGGCTTTATTAGGATTTTGACAGGAAAGGCAAGGCAGGACAGGGTGCACAGTTTAAGATTGGCTAGTTTAAATAAGTATGGTGGGCCTTGGGACATAGGGACTATCCCTAGTTGTACCAGGCTTTGGGTTGACTTAGGGCAGGGGAAATAGCAGTGTGTGTGAGTTAGATAAAGAGGTGGTTCAGAGTATGGGATGTGGATTGCAAGGGAAATTTTTAAGTTTGGCTGTTAGTTTGGCCCTATAAGTAATTGATGCCAAAAAGATACATACAGATCTTAGGAAACACAGAACAAGAAGCTGCTCATGGAATGAGCTATCATAATTTTGCCAGGATTGTGTGGTCTTTGACGATGTGGCCATATATTTCTCCCAAGAGTAGTTGGGGCTCCTTGATGAGGCTCAGAGACATCTGTCTAGTGATGTAATGCTGGAGAACTTTACACTTCTGTCATCTGTAGGTAAGCAAGTGTCTTGTATTGGGTTCTGTTTTTCCACATTTCCACAGGGCAGCTCTGTCTTTACCACACCAGATCATACATGCCACTGTCTCTCCTATTTTCCTGGCATATGTGTAATGGGAGCCAGGGCTGGGCTATCTACACTGTACCACCTTTCTTGAAGGAAACCCAGCTCCCGTAGCTCTGAGGCCTTGCAAGATAAGGCTCAGGAGTCAAATTTTGAGATTTCTCTAAGAAATCCCAGTGGCCTTTCCTGTCCCTCGTCAGGTTACTACATCCAGATGCATGAAACCTCTATACTTAAGGCTTTCTCCCTTCCTCTTGCTGACACTCTTAGAGACTGCCTCTGCCGGGAATTTCAGGCATCTACGTGGTCACTACTTGTGAGGTCACTACTTCTACTCTAGAAGTTCTTACAGATTTAGAATGCTAGATGGCTTGGGTTGTGTCTACTCCCTTTCCCTGTTTTTCTTCTAAGTTGCCCTGTACTAAGCCTAGATAGTTGTTCACCTAAAGCATGAGGGAGGGCCCTGTTTGCCTGAGAGGTGGAAATTACTCCATCAATGACAAGGGAGGTTCATTAGGACACGTCAGAGACATGGTGGGTGGAAGCTGGGAACAGTTGTAATGTCAGGGCTAGGTTCAGCTCACACTGGGAACCTGTCTAATTTGATACCCCTGCCAGTGGTCACAGCACATTTCTCCCCTTTCTTTCCCATTGTCGTTTCTCCTTTGACTTCTGGCCCCAGACTCCCCTTCAACCCCACTTCTCTGGCCTCACCTCTCACCCATTCTCTTCCACTGCTCCTTTTGCAGTGTCCTCCAACATATGACTTTGTACTATAGGTGTCATGTGGTCTGTTTTTTTTCCCTCAGTAGTCCTTGAACACCAGCTGCTCTGTCTCAATCAGATCTCTCTGGGTCTGGACACAACCTTCTATACACTGCTTACCGGTCATCAGCAGCTATGGCATGTTGAAAGCCATTTGCAGTGGAGTGAGTTGGAGACCGCCCCCTTCCCCATACTGCACCCTCCCTTGTGTCCTCACCCTGCATCAGGGCTCTCCCATCATGGGCACTTGCCAGGCCCAGCTCTGCACAGCTCATCTTCCTCTCACTGGCCTCCAACGTTCATGACTGTCAGCAATCCCATGATTTTATTGGTAGGTGTCTCTGATAAAACATTTGTGATGGGGCTGCTTCCTCCCTCCAAAGTCACAGCATTTCTGTTTTTACAGGTTGTTGCCATGCATCTGAGGGTGAGGAGGCACTTTATGAACAGGTGTTTCTGTAGCTGTGTCACCATTCAGGACTCAAAAACAATGTGAGTCCACCCAGATCTCCCAGCCTTGTGAGACACGTAGTTCTCTCCTAAAAGGCATTCTGCACCTGTCTCAGCAGAACAGAACACACCCTGAGCAAGGGTTGTACACATGTGTGGCAGTGCACCTGCACCAAAAGTGGCAGCTTTGAGAGAAACTCTCCAGAAGTGACGAGGAGAGTCGTTTATTTGTGAAGAATGACAGAGTTCATGTGGCAGAAAGGAGCTTCCCATGCGTGGAGAGCAGCAAGGATTCTACTGCTAACTCAGACCTTCTCCAGCAACAGGCCCTTCATGGTGGGTGGAAGCCACACAGGGACACCCAGGGCAAGGTGGCCTTTCAAGGTGGACAGAATGACTATAGCTGCAGCCAGTGTGGAAAAGACTTTTGCCACCAACATATGCTTCTGGAGCACCAAAAAATACATACTGGGGAAAGACCTCATGAGTGCAGTGAATGTGGGAAATTGTTTAGGTACAACCCCAACCGTACTAAACATCAGCGAAATCACACTGGAGAAAGGCCTTATAATTGTAGTGAATGTGAGAAAGCCTTCAGCCTCAAACATGTTATTCAGCACCAAAAAATTCACACTGGAGAAAGGCCTTATGAGTACACTGAATGCAGGAAGGCCTTCATTAGAAAGTTCCACCTAGTTCAGCACCAGAAAATCTACACTGAAGGATTCTTTCCAAAAAATCTTGTTGAAAAAAAATCTGATCTAGTTGAAAACCAGAAGGTTTACACCAGGCCAAGGCCTTATGAGTGCAGCCAATGTGGGAAGACTTTCCTTACATGGGCTCACCTTGTTTGTCATTGGAAAATTCATACTGGAGAATGGCCTTATGAGTGCAGTGAATGTGGGAAGTTCTTTATTGACAGGTCCACACGCATTATTCATCAGAGAGTTCACACCGGAGAAAGGCCTTATGAGTGCAGAGAATGCGGTAAGTTCTTTATGGATAGGCCCACACTCATTAGACATCAGAGAGTTCATAGTGGGGAAAGGTGTTATGAGTGCAGCATATGTGGGGAATTCTTTAGGTGTAACTCCATCCTCATTAAACATTGGAGAATTCATACTGGAGAAAGGCCGTATAAGTGCAGCGAATGTGGGAAACCCTGTAGGTACCACTGCAAACTCATTAGGTATCAGAGAGTTCACACTGGAGAAAGGCCTTATGAGTGCCTCGAATGTGGAAAACTCTTTAAATACTAAACCAGCCTCTTTAAACATTGGAGAATTCATACTGGAGAGAGGCCTTATGAATGTAGCAAATGTGGGAGAGTCTTTAACCAAAACTCCCACCTTATTCAGCACCAAAAAGTTCACACCAGATAAAGAACCTATATATAATGCAAATGTGGAAAGACTCCACACAGAAATCTGCTTTGATTTAGTACTGGGAATTATGATATTATTATTTTTAATTTAAAATACAGCTAACATAACGTCTAACATCCTAACTGTATATAAGTGTACGGTTCATTAGTGTTATTTGCATTGTTGTGCAATGAATATCCAGGTCCTTTCAACTCCTGAAACTAAAACTCTGTACCCTTTAAACACTCATTCCCACTCCACCTAGTCCCTAACAGCAACCACTCTGTATGAATTTATTAGTCCAGGTACCCCATATGAGAAAACTTAAGTTTTGGTCTTCTTGTGACTTATTTTGTGCCTTATTTCACTTAATACCTTCAAGGTTTATCCATGTTGTAGCATGAATTAGAATTTCCATCTTTTTAAAGCCTGAATAAAATTCTGTTATACTCATGTGTTACTTAACAATGTGGATATATCCTGAGAAATGCAAGATTTGGTGATTTTGTGATTGTGTAAATTCCTATGCTATATATGTATATAGACTATATCTTCTAGGCTACAAACTTGTACAGCATATTATTGCACTGAATTCTGTAGGTAGTTGGAACACATAGCAAGTAATTGTATCTAAATATATGTAAACAGAGAAAAATCCAGTAAAAATGAAATATAAAAGATTAAAAAAAGAAAAAGTATGCTTGTATAGAGTACTTACCATGAATGGAGCTTTCAGACTGGAAGTTGCTCTAGGTGAGTCAGTGCATGAGTTGTGAGTGAATGTGAAGGCCTAGGACATTACTTAACTACTGTAGACTTTACAAACACTACACGTAGGCAACACTAAATTTTTTTATTTATTTTATTTTATTTTATTTTATTTTTTTTTGAGACAGAGTCTCGCTTTCTTGCCTAGGCTAGAGTGAGTGCCATGGAGTCAGCCTAGCTCATAGCAACCTCAAACTCCTGGGCTCAAGCGATCCTCCTGCCTCAGCCTCCCGAGTAGCTGGGACTACAGGCACGAGCCACCATGCCTGGCTGATTTTTATATTATATATATTAGTTGGCCAATTAATTTCTTTCTATTTTTATGGTAGAGATGGGGTCTCACTCTTGCTCAGGCTGGTTTCGAACTCCTGACCTCACGCAATCAGCCCGCCTCGGCCTCCCAGAGTGCTAGGATTACAGGCGTGAGTCACCATGCCCAGCCAAATTAGTGAATTATATTTTATGGATTGGAAATTATACCTCATTTAATTTGGTTAAAGAAATAAAGTATTCATGGGTCCACAGAGATAAAAATGAATGAATCAGTAAATCAATCATTATGGGAGAAGGATAATTTCTATCTTACTGTAGAATGCCAAGGAAAATATAGACAAATTGATGGGGTGAGATAAGCATCAATTGCTGGTAAACCTAGTAGAATGAAAAATTGATGAGGAAAAGAAATTTTACATATTTTTAAAAACTCCTCATTAATAACTTAGAGTTATTTAGGAAAAACAGTAACTTTTGCATAGGGAGATCTGAGAGGCATCACTGCATCAAAGTGTCCAAAGTTGACCTCATCAAAAGGGGCCCACACACCTTCGTACTTCCTGATGCTCCAAAAGGACACAGCGTCACTTCTGCGGCACCCTCGCTAAAATGTGCGTGAACTTAATCTAATCAGGAGGACACCCGCTACACACCATCCGAAGGGAATTTTACAGAATAAGTAGCCTGCAGCTAAAAACTGAGCAAGAAAAAGGCAATCTAAAAAGGTGAGAAACAGTTTCACAGCAATAGAGACTAAAGCTACTTGGGAAATAAATGCACTTCATGATATTTGGCACCGGACTGAAAAGTAGCTATGATGCATGTTGTGAGACAATTGCAAAATTTGAATATAGTCTATGAATTACACAATGCTGTTGTATTAAGTTTCTGGATTTGAGATTTGAGCTCAGGTTACTTTAAGATAATGTCCATTTATTTAGGAAATGCATGCTAAAGTATCATTAGTTGATGGGTGCAGTGTTCCCAACTTGCTCTTAATGTATTAAAAATAATTAGATAGATGATAGATGGATAGATAGATACAGATTTGTGAAACTGAGGGATACTAGATCTTCATTAAACTTATAAGTAACAACTACAAAATTCTATAGCAAATAGTATGTCTTATGGCCCATTATTAAAATATTCCCATGAGATTATGGACACAAGGAGGGTGGCTGCCCTTTGCATTCTTATTCAGTATTATGCTGGAGATCCTACGTATTACAAAAAGGCAAGGTAATCAATCTACAAATCTTAGAAAGTAAGAAATAAAAATGTACTTCCTCAAAAGTTTAAAATACTTCTTCAACTATCATCTTCACTGTGAATCCAAACTTGGAGATCCGATTCCCCGCTGCAACCCATCACGGCCCCTGGGCCTCGTCCCCTGCAGAGCTTTGTCCTTCACTGCCTTGCTTGGAACAGTAGATGGATGGCTTGTTGACTTTTCCACCAACTACAGTGTAAATTTCATGAGGGCAAAGTACCTTTTAGGTTTTGTACACTGATATAGCTATCCTATATACCTTGGAACATGCCTGAAACATGGAAGGTATACAAACACATTTGCTGAAATACCGAACAAATATGACAATAGAGATTTAATATTCATTTGTACCATCCTGAAAACTGCTTGCAGCTCTGCTGACTCACTGTCTCTTCCTCCAACTTCGCTACCCTAGTGCTCTCAGGAAAAGAAAGGAGTCATATTTTGGAAATAATTTATTTAAATTCATTAAAAAAGGCCGGGCGCGGTGGCTCACGCCTGCAATCCTAACACTCTGGGAGGCCGAGGCGGACAGATTGCTCGAGGTCAGGAGTTCAAAACCAGCCTGAGCAAGAGCGAGACCCTGTCTCTACCAAAAATAGAAAGAAATTAATTGGCCAACTAATATATATAGAAAAAATTAGCTGGCATGGTGGCGCATGCTTGTAGTCCCAGCTACTCGGGAGGCTGAGGCAGGAGGATCGCCAGAGCCCAGGAGTTTGAGGTTGCTGTGAGCTAGGCTGACGCCACGGCACTCACTCTAGCCTGGGCAACAAAGCAAGACTCTGTCTCAAAAAATAAATAAATAAAGTCATTAAAAAAGTTTAGGTAGACATGTGCTTAACTTTCCTCTTTCACTTATTATATGTGTGTTCTGTGCTCATCTTCCATTGGGACTTTTTTGTTGTTTATTTCAAACGTTGGGTTCCTCGTTTCTTTCTGCCTCTCCTGTTGTATATCTTTATTACTTTTAATGGGTGTCAGGAGCTGACACCATTCACACGTTCTCAGAGATAATCTCGATCCCCCATGAAGATGCTATCAGTGCAATGACAGGCGAAATGACAATCACTTCCCAGAGCAGATGAGATCATGGGATCCCAGACGCGCACCTCAGGTCCGTCCACGCCTACCCAGGCCCGAGGCCGCCGCCGCGCCCGCCGTCTGCCCGCCCACGGGCCTGCACTTGGTGAGCAGCTTTTCTCCTCAAATAAGTGTCCAATACTTAGAATTTACCTCAAGAAATTCCGAAATACTTTAAAAAAAAAAATCGAACTTCTGAGGTTGATATTAAAAAGGAACGCAACACTTGTTAGGCGATAGCCAGCCAGATAGAGGAGCAGCCGGCAGACGCAGACCAGCAGCCCTGCCGGCCCTCTCCTCTCCCTGGTAGATTCTCTCTGAAATTTCTTCTTATTTATTTTTATTCTTTTAATTAATTAATCAATTTTTTCTGACTCAGAGTCTCCCTCTGTTGCCCAGGCTAGAGTGCCGTGGCGTCAGCCTCGCTCACAGCAACCTCAGATTCCTGGGCTCAAGCCATCCTCCCGCCTCAGCCTCCGGAGTAGCTGGGACTACAGGCATGCGCCACCATGCCCGGCTAATTTTTTCTATATATTTTTAGTTGGCCAATTAATTTCTTTCTATTTATAGTAGAGATGGGATCTCGCTCCTGCTCAGGCTGGTCTTGAACTCCTGACCTCGAGTGATCCTCCCGCCTCGGCCTCCCAGAGTGCTGGGATTACAGGTGTGAGCCACTGCGCCCGGCCGTTATTTATTTTTTAACATTGACAGATATCCGTAGCCTGGTGGTTTGAAGTATGTAGACACTAATTGCCCCTTACTAAACACAACATTCCTTGGCATTCTCTCCAAAGGCTTCAGGACGCGGGCGTGTGTAATAAGATAGAGAGGGCTCCCGCCACTGAGTAGACACTTAGAGTCGTGTGACAGCCGCCGGTGTGTGATGGCGTGTTGTTTTGTGTTGGAAAGGGCACGTGGTGTTAGATGCAGCCTTTAATAACATGTCTTTTGGTTTCTACTATCAGGGAAGGCTGCTGCCATGTTTTCCCAAAAATAAGACAGGGTCTTATATTTATTTTTCCTCAAGAAGACACCCTAGGGCTTATTTTCAGGGGATGTGTTATTTTTTTTAAGTACGGTACAACCATCTACATGTATTCAAATAGAATGAAGGCGTCTTCTGGAGCATCATCATCACTCTCCAAACCCCGAATCCCATCCTGAATGTCTTGCGACTCTGTTTCCTTTAGACCCACCGGCCCGATCTCTCCCGTGGAGCCACAGAGCTGTCACGGGCGGATGAGAAGGGCTGCTCTGCGTCTTTCCCGCTCCGCGCCGACACGCATGCGCTGTGCAGACGCGCCGCGTGGCCACGCCCGTCACTAGGGCTCATTTTCGGGGTGGGGCTTCTATTGCGCATGCTCAGACATCCTGCTAGGGCTTAGTTTATGGGTAGGGCTTATTTTCGGGGAAAACACGGTAATAGCATCTCTCTGTTAGACCAATGAGAGGTTCCTTTATCTCCAATTTATAGAAATGAAAATTTTATGTAAAGATGCATAAGGCAAATAAGATTATGAAGTATGGGCAGATTACAGTCTTTAATAGTCTGAACGTACAATTGTTAAACTGAAATGTAACCAAAATTAAAGAAAAAAAAAACCTTTATAGTCTATTCTCACACTATTCTGATAGTCTCTATCCCCCAAAGGGCCAAGGCAGCCACTCCGGAATGGTTGAGATATAATTATATCTATGATTAAATACCTCTTTCTCATCTATCTGCCATAGTTCCTTGGCAGCCATGGGGTATTGGTTCCAAGATTTTGTGGACACTCAAATCTGCAGATGCTCGAGTCCCTTATATAAAATGGCATAATATTAGCATATAACCTGTGCACATCCTTTTATATAGTTTATTTATTTATTTATTTATCTATTTTTATCTATTTTTTAAGATAGGGCCTCACTCTGTTGCCCAGGCTAGAGTGCAGTGGTATCATCATAGCTCACAGCAACCTCAAATCCTGGGTTCTAGTGATCTTCCTGCCTCAGCCTCCCAAGTAGCTGGGACTATAGGTGCATGCCACCACGCCTGGCTAATTTTTCTGTTTTTTAGGGAAGGGGTCTTTCTCTTGCTCAGGCTTGTCTCAAACTCCTGACTCAAGCAATCCTATCTTGGCCTCCCAAAGTGCTAGGATTACAGGTGTGAGCCACCACACCTGGCCCATTTGTATACTTTAAATCATCTCTAGATTACTTATAATATTTAATATAATATAAATGCTATGCAAATAGTTCTTTTTTTTTTTTTTTTTTTTTTTTTGAGACAGAGTCTCACTCTGTTGCCCTGGCTAGAGTGAG